CAAACTGCCTCAGTTTCCCCTCCATTCGCCCTCCGAAAGGAATGAAATCTCTCGGCGGCTGACTCAAAGGCCCGCCTCTGGGCGCAGTTCATTCGTGTGTATGTTCACCAAGCCGCAACACCCGCAGGATAGAGCTGTTCTCTCCACCCCCCCAAAGAACAGCAGGGACAGGCGCAGACGCTACCCACGCCTCCCACCCAGGGGGTTGTGCCCCAGTTTCCTGCCTGAGAGCCAGTTTCCATTCTGCCCACAGTTTTTTTGCCCTTGTTCCAGGGCCCTGCCCCCAAGGCTGTTCAACTGAGAGTTACCAACAACTTGCTACCGGGCCAAGGCTCCCCGTAGTGTTCTATTCCCCAGGCTTCCTCGCCTGTGAGTCCTCCAACCCCTGTTCCTGGGTCCTCCAGCATCAGCCCTCCAGGGTCAGCGTCCCCTGACCACGCTGGTTCTTCCCCTTTTCCCAGGGCCCTCCTCAGGAGCCCACCTTCAACTCAGCAGGGCTCAGAAGATAAGAACAGGCCAGTCTGCATCCACAACTGCAAAGTCTCTACCATCGCTCATCACAGTCAGCCCTGTCCCCTGGGTCTCCTGTAACTCTCTCGCCAGCTGCTCCTGCGACAGGCAAACACAGGTTGAAAGTTAAGCAGGCGCCTAAGGGCTATCCTGGATTGGGGCCATCCTTTGGAATCCCAAAGAACTAGCTAGTACCCCACCAACTTCCACCTGCCCCGGCAGCAGCCGCAGAACCCCGAGAAATCAGTGGGGTGGGGGAGCCCTAGCAGGCGCTGGAGTAACGCAGGGTTACAAGTGCAGTGCATGAAATCTCTGCGCGGCGCTCGAGCCTGTTCAGTGCTGTTAGTCCCTGACTTTCAGGAGCACCCTTGAGCCGTTTCAGTTCCTTTGCAAGACGTTTAAGTCACCTAACTACATGGCCGCAGGCTAGGATAGTCCCTGGACACGCATGGAGAATATCTTATTGCCTCTGTATAAACCCATGCTACGCCCACATCTTGAACACTGCGTACGGAGGTGGTTTCCTCCTCTCAAAAAAGATCTCTTGGCATCGGAAAAGGTTCAGAAAAGGACAACAAAAAGGACAAGGGGTTTGGAACGGGTCCCGTACGAAGAGATTAAAAAGACTGGGACTTTTCAGTTTAGAAAAGGGGAGACTAAGGGAGGATAGGATAGAGGTCTATAAAATCATGACTGGTATGGAGAAAGAGAAGTTATTTACTTGTTCCCATAAGAACTAGGGATCATCAAACGAAACAAATAGGCAGCAGGTTTTAAAACAAACAAAAGGAAGGTTTTCTTCATGCAGCGCACAGTCAACCTGTGGAACTCCTTGCCAGAGGATGTCGTGAATGCCAGGATTTGAAAAAGAGAGTTTGAAAAAGAGTTAGATAAATTCATGGAGGAAAGGTCCACCAATAGATATTAGCCAGGATGGGTAGAAATGGTGTCCCTAGCCTCTGTTTGTCAGGGGCTGGAAATGGATGACAGGAGAGAGATCATTTGATGATTCCCTATTCTGTTCACTCCCTCTGGGGAATCTGGCATTGGCCACCATCAGCAAACAGGACACTGGGCTCAATGGACCTTTGGACAGGCCACTCTTATGAAGTGTACATGATGGAGAGAGTCCAGTAAAGTCCCTGAAGTATTTAGCACCAACCAGCTAAGGGCAGAGAAAGGAACTGAGGACCAAGACAGCTGCTTCCTAGGTATTTAATTATAACCTAGGCACACTGAGAATAGCAACCAGAAAGGTATGGACATGTCTGGTGTCAGCTGTTTGCTCCCCCCACCCTTTTTGGAAGGAAATGCTGAGGTTTTCTGAGACCACTTTAAAGAGACGTTTTATTTGGCTTTGCAAAATGGCACCGTTGCTTTGGTGCGAGGGGCGTGCAATCAGGCAGCACAATGATTCATGCACCTGCGGGGTTGTAATTGCCCTCTGCCGACAAAGGGCCACTCTGTCTGAGGGATCCACAGACACTCAGCTGTTGAAAGAGTCCTAGAATTGGCATGAATACGCCGGCGGGGAGGATGGGAGGATAATGACACAGCCCTATGCGATGGCTTCCCTCTCCCTATCCTGCTGAGCTGGGAAAGGCAGCAACCAAAACCCAGCTGCTGTTCCTCTTAGAAATAAAAGGCAGAGAACATGCTCAGAAAAACACTGGCTCTGAAAGACGTGTGGTTACAGCCTGGGATGTCAGTGTAATAAGGCTTTTGCATCAGCTATGGGCTAAAACAAAATGGCAGGTTTTTACAGGCAATGGAATGGCATTTTAGAGGCCCGGTCTATGCTACCAGAGAAAATTGACCTAAGATACTCAACGCCATCTATGAACATTTCTGCCGTACTCCCACAGAGAGAGGTCGACAGGAGAAACTCTCCTGTCAACCTCCCTTCCTCCTGGCAACCTGGTGGAGAACCCAGGTCGACGGGGGCATCATCAGTAGTCGATTTAGTAGGTCCTTACTAGACCCACTCAATCAAACTCCAAGAGACTGCTCTCCGGAGCATCACTCTCGGGGTAAGTGAAGACAAGCCCTTAGTGTCTCATGGGAGGGGGATAAGTTTGCAGGGATAGCACGACTGGAAGAGTGACCTGCTGCTATGGAGGAGAAACTGAGGAAGAGGAGTAAATAGGTGAGAATGAAAGAAAAGAGGCAGCTGGTGGCGAGAACGAGGGTGAAGCAAGCCCATGTCAAGATTAGAGTTATCCCTGTCCTGAATAGGGCCGTGTCTACACTTGAAGGCTTTGCTGGCAAAGCACTCCTACTAGGAATGTATCACAATATTAACTATCTGCCCTTTGACTGGGATAGCTCAGGCTGAGTTCCATGGTAAGTCGGGTCTAGATTAGTTCTGCTGGCCAGGACAAAGGTCTCCACAAAGCCAGAGAGAGTTGGACAAGTCTCTTCTCCTCCTCCATGATTATGAATCCCTGGGTGCAATTTACTCCAGAGCAATGGGGCTTCGTGCCCAAGGCGAACCTCACTCGTTGTGATCAGTAGCATCCGCTACTTCATTCAGATTACACCCAGGCAGGCAGCTGAAAGGCAGCAACGGAACAAAGGATACAAAGTTGTCTCCAAAGCCCATTTACCAGCACATTTACCTGTTGTTTTAGAAATGAAAGGGCCCTTTGCACCATGGTGTTCTGGAAGTTTTTGCAGAGCTGAGCTGGAAGACAGCGACACTGTTTAATCCTGGGCGAAAAAGAATCAAAACAGGAAACGAGTTTTGCTCCGAAGAGCAAGGGGGTTTTGTAGTGAATCCTTCAGAAGAATGCACGAGATAACAGGCATCTGAGCAAGTCCTTTCTGCTGGACACCGCTTTTTTGTTAAGCAGTCTCACTTGTGAAGCTGCCCACAACTTGATCGTGAATGCAGAGTGGGGATTAGGAGGAAAGAAATGAACAGAGTAAAGCTATCGAAATGCAGCCATTTTGCTTTCAGGGGTTGAAAGCACACGTTTTCTTGGGGCTCCCTTTGTCTTTCCCCATTCCATTAATCTAGTTGGTGTTTTCTGTACACTTAAGCAAGTTAGGAAATAATAGTTTTTTAAAGGAAATATTGAAAAAAAGGTTTATTTCAAGATTTCTTGTCATAATATTTGTGTGTATTTTTGACTAAAAATCCAAATGGAAAAGTGTTTGTTTCTTTCTTTGTTTTTTAAAATCAAATTCAATACAAAATTCAATTTTGGTAAAAATGTTCAGATTTTGAAAACCAAACCCTTAACATTTCTATCCACAGGCGAACTGATGACCAAAATTTTCACAGAACAAATTTTCAGTTTCAGCTTTTCAAGTGTAAAATTAGACAATTTCTACCACAATGAAAATTTTCATTAACATATTTTGGTTTGGTCAAAAAGCCATATTTTTCTAGAAAAAAATGTTTCCATCACAAAAAAAATTGACACACACACACACACACACCCGCCCTATAATTAACTGCAGTTTGAACCTCTCTAGTCCAGAACTCCCTGGTCCAGAAACATCTATTGTCCGGAATGATGTTAGTGAGCCAGATGTCCACTTTCCATGAGTGTGGCCAAGTTTCCTGCGGTCTCATAAAGTTTATTTACAGCCACCAGTCCTGGCTCTCAGTGTTCTGTGCTGTTATTTAGCTCTAATTTACCCATATATGTCTTCTAACACCCCAGTAAGCAGTGGATGTGTTGGTAATGCTGCTAGACAATCATGACTTTCCATGGGGTCCTGAAGGTGCCAGACTACAGAGATTCAACCTGTACCTGCCGTGTTCAGCCTTTTACATTTTCAGAGTGCTTTTCGAACACAAGGTTTTGATCCTACTCCTTTAAAGTAAATGGCCCATCTGCCTTGTATTTCACAATCAAGCTTTGCCTAATTACTCAATTCATCTTCATTTCTACTCTGCACTGGTTAGGCCTCAGTTGGAGTCTTGTGTCCTGTTCTGGGAACCGCATTTCAAGAAAGATGTGGAGAAATTGGAGAGGGTCCAGAGAAGAGCAACAGGAATGATTAAAGTTCTAGAGAACATGACCTATGAAGGAAGGCTGAAAGAACTGGGTTTGTTTAGTTTAGAAAAGAGAAGATTGAGGGGGGACATGAGAGCCGTTTTCAGGTATCTAAAAGTGTGTCATGAGGAGGAGGGAGAAAACTTGTTCATCTTGGCCTTTGAGGATAGGACAAGGAGCAATGGGCTTAAACTGCAACAAGGGAGGTTTAGGTTGGACATTAGGAAAAAGTTCCTAACTATCAGGGTGGTCAAACACTGGAATAAATTGCCCAGGGAGGTTGTGGAATCTCCATCTGTGGAGATATTTAAGAGTAGGTTAAATAAATGTCTATCAGGGATGGTCTAGTCAGTACTTGGTCCTGCCATGAGGCAGGGGACTGGACTCAATGACCTCTCGAGGTCCCTTCCAGTCCTAGTATTCTATGATTCTATGATTAGCCAAATCAGAATAATTAACCAAAAACTCTTTTCTTTCTCTCAGAAAAAAAGAATTTTGAAGGGCTCCATTGAACTGTCCAGGATCAAATGTGTCGAAATTGTGAAAAGCGACATCACAATTCCCTGTAACTATAAATATCCCTTCCAGGTAAGTCTGCCTTCAAGAATAATATTACTGTCTTTTGCATAATTTCTAACAGAAACTCTGTCTCACAACACACGTAGGAGTAAATGAATGCAGTGGCAGTGATATATAATAGCAAAGGAAAAAAGAAAGGAGCAATAAATATGCTTTTTAGCTAAAGTGTGAAAAGTAATGGAGAATCAAAGACTGAGTCTTTCCGTTGACTACACCGCGATTTTCCGCCTGTAGTCCACAGAGCCCCGGAGTGCCACAGAATATGTTAGGGGCCTGTGAAAGGTTTTCATTACCACAGAACAGTGGTTTTCAACCGGCAGGCAGTAGTCTCATGGCAGTCCATAAGAGTCCCAAAGGGAGCTGCAGCTTTATTTGAAATTTGTTAGGGGTCCACAAATGAAACAAGGCTGCAAACCCCTGGATTACACAAATTCATCGATTTTAGGTCGAGAAGGGACCTTTGGATCATTTGGACTGGCCTCCTCTATAATGCAGGCTACAGAATTTTGTCCAGTTATTCCCCTATGAAGCCTACTAGCTCATGTTTGATGAAAGCATCTTCTGGAGAAGCATCCAGTCTTGATCTGAAGACAGCAAATGCTGGGGGAGTGGAAGGAGAATTCATGCCCCTTGGTAGTTTGTTTCTGTGGTTAATCACCCTCCCGAGTAGGGAATCACTCATTTCAGTGGGGTTTAGATCAGGCCCAACCGAGGAGAGAATGGCGAAAACATGGAGTCTACAAAGAACAGATGCAAACATGCCGCCTTTACCCTCCCAATGCATTAGACGTTCCGTAGCGTTAGGTGGCATCGATTGACAATTCCCATTTAGCTCTTTCACCTGATTGGCCACCTTTTGCAATTGGATTACAAATCTCATGCTATTAGGGCCTTTTCCTTAAGGCTATAGCCTCTGGAGGCAAGGGAGAGCAGGCAAATCGCCTTGGATACATTTCTAGGCCTCACCGTTGCAGCGAAAAGCTTGAAAATGGTACCCCAGGGCATCCTACAGACTCAACAATCCAGAAAGAAAAGCACCTGCCATTTCTTAGTCCATAAATGTTCATGAGTTGGGGGCCCGACTCGTGATTTTGAACCTTTGGCGATCACAATATCGCGATCCTAATGGAGGGGATAGCTCCATTTCTAGCATGGTAATCTAAACACACAGAATGCACATTGACCACGTGCTTTGTGGACTGTTCATTGGCCTCCGGGCTCTGTTCACCGTGGGTGAAATGCCCCTAGGAGCCGTGGCGTGCACCAGCTTACAGAGCGATAATAAGGGGGAGCAATTAACGCCCAGCGCAGGGTTGGACTCAGGAGTCACTTTGTGACCGTAGAGAAGCTGCACAGTTCTCTGCTCCGAGGGCGGCTTCATTTTAGAGGGGCCCAACCTTAGAAACTGGGGGCTTTGTGGGGCCGGGTCCCTGCACTTCCCACCGGAATCAGCCAGAGATGTGTGTCTGTCAACCCCCCACAAACCAGGGCCCCACTGCTGTGCTAAGCCCCCTTCCACCAACCAAGCTGTGCTGAGCCCTGTTGAGGGCACTGGAAGAGGTGGCTGCTACAGGTGTGGGAAGTAGGGGTGTGGGGCCGCAGCACCCCCAGGTTTTGCACCTGCCTTCCCCATGCCCGCGAGCCAGCCCTGCTGCCAGCTTCTCCAGCCTGGGGTCCTGGCCTCCAGGAGGCCCTGTGGGGTTCTGCCTCCACGGGCTTTGCCGATCTCCTGGATTCCCATTATCTACTGGCTTCACAGGGTCTGCCAGCCCACTGGCCCTCCCTGGCCCAGGGTCCCGCCACCGACCCAGGGCTCTGCAGTCCGGCCTGGGGCAGTCAAGGCAGCCAACTCTCCTGGACTGGGCGCCATTTGCAGCCATGGAGTCTGGTCTGTTTGGACCAGGAGAGTTGGCCACCTGATCTCAACTGGGCTAGATAGGGGGTAAGGGGGTGCCGCTCAGCACCCTCACCCCCAAAATAGCTCCAGCGCCACTAGCCGCATGAGTCCCCCACAGGCCAGATCTCTTTATAGAGGTGGGTATCAGATAACGGCCAGGCCCTCAGAAAGGTGCAGCCTTGCTCAGCCATTTTCTAGGACCAAGAGAAGTTGAGGTGGGGGGGGGGAGGAGAGGGGCTGCAAATGGCTTCCAGTGTGTGGCTCATCACAGAGGATGCTGAACAGCTCTGCCAGCTCGGGGCCCGCTGGGCCTGGCCGCCCCGGAGGAGAGGTTTTGCTGGGGTTATTCGCCAGCTTCCAGTCTCTCCGTGTTACTGGAGCATGGCCACGGATTAGCCATTTGGTTCCTGGAAATACCAATACCTAAAAAGAAGAAACCCCCCTCAGTTGGCTTCTTTCGCCTGACTACGGCCATTTTCCTTGAAAAATAAAACAAAGCCGGCGCAGGGAGCGGGATCAGCGCCGAGGGGCGGGCTCTTCTCGAGATGTCGGACACACAGCAGACGCGCTGTGAACGATGCACAGATGTTGCACCTGCTAAGAGCAAAGTACAAAAAAAAAAAAAAGTCAGCTGTATCCTGCCGTAGAACCACCGACGGCTTTGTTTAGTTGTGTGGCTTGGTACACGAGGCAGCGCCGTGCAATACAGCCCAGTGTGTTCAGCGGCTTTGGGTTTTTTGGGTTTTTCTGCACACTTTAGAAGTTTGCTGCAGGCTTGAAAAAGTAACTTGTAATTTCCAAACACTGTACAACACACACCAGCACCAGAAGAGTTGTCCAGAGTCAGTGGGAGACAGGCCGGTGCCCCTTTCTATTTTTTGTTGGACGGGCGGTAATTTATCAATCTAAGGGGAATCCTTCAGGGTTCCCAAAGCTACATGGCACTCGGGTGTGTCCACCGAGAAATCAACTCCTTTAAAACACGGTCATAAACGCTCACCATTCCTCCATAGGGGATACTGTTTAAAGAGCAGCTGGTATCTCACAAAAATCTGTTTGGATACGATGACCCTAAATACGACCAAATTTGCTCGAGTGTCACAAATGCTCTGCATTTCTCTTCCCACGTATGTTGAGAAGTAGGGACAACTTTATGAAAACAGCATAGAATCACAGAATCCTAGAACTGGAAGAGACCTTGAGAGGTCATCGAGTCCAGTCCCCTGCCCTCATGGCAGGACCAAGCACCGTCTAGATCATGGGTTCCCAAACTGGGGGCATGAAGAAATTCCAGGGGGGGGTGCAAGGTGACCCAGCCCTCCCATTAATCTCCCACCCCCCAAGTTTTGCTGCTATTTTTGTTTCTCGCCCCCTGTCAGTTCCTTTCCCCCTCGGCCCCCTAACAAGTTTTGCTGCTATTTTTTTTGGGGGGGGGGGGGAGGGTTTCTTAAAAATCAAAATGGGGGTGTGATGCCGAAGTTTGGGAACGACTGGTCTAGATCATCCCTGGCAGGTGTCTGTCTAACCTGCTCTTAAATATCTCCAGTGATGGAGATTCCACAACCCCCCTAGCCAATTTATTCCAGTGTTTAACCACCCTGACAGGTAGGAAGTTTTTCCTACTGTCCAATCTAAACCTCCCTTGCTGCAATTTAACCCCATTGCTTCTTGTCCTATCCTCAGAGGCCAAGGAGAACAATTTTTCTCCCTCCTCCTTATAACACCCCTTTAGATACTTGAAAACTGCTGTCATGTAGCATCTTTGTAGCGTAATAATTTGCTTGCTTATTTCCCACCTAAAATCCTACAGCCAAATTCTGCTCAGTTACCTTGGAGTAAATCCTGATTAGAATTCAACAGGGTTGCTCAGAATATGCACCATTACCAGTGAGAGCAGAACTGTGCGCTAGCATTTCTGGCCAAGACAAACTGCGTGAGCAGACACAGGGATGCTGCTGCCGTACAAATGTTAGTAACAGGAGAAGCTGAAAATATGGGGCCAAATCCCCAGCTGGCAGAGTGGACTGAGCCTGCATCATTTCACTCGTGTTTCCTTCACGGTCGAGAGCTGTACCCCAAAGACTGTCTCTGCTGAATGCTCTTCTGAGCAGCATTCTCTGTCGATTTCAATCACCAAAGCCAGGCGCTAGATTCCACCGGGGTTCAGAGCCATTTCTGAGCTCACATCGGCTGTCACATTTGCCGACACAGTTGCTGCACGACTGGTATATAACACATCGGTGCTTTAAAGTCCCCCGAGTGTCAAAAAACAGCAGGGGCTGTTTCTAATCACTGGCTTGCTTCTCTGGCCTCTTCTGCAGGTTCTCCATGACAACTACCTGCTGTACGTGTTTGCACCTGACCGAGAGAGCCGACAAAGATGGGTGTTTACACTGAAAGAAGGTAACCGCAGCGCCGGGCACAATCGACTCTCCAAGGTCACCTGTTCCAGCTCCGCTTTCAGTAGCCATAGACTGGAAAAAAACGAGAGGTCACAGGAAGTCCGATGCCTTATGTTTGCCCACGGAGAAGGGCACGTGCTCGGATGTTTGCAAATCTCGGGGCATAGTCTCCAAGGCTACGTCTAGATTGCATCCCTTTTTTGTAAAAGGGATGCAAATTAGACCTATCGCAATTGCTAATGAAGCGGGGGAGATTTAAATCCCCGCTTCATTAGCAATTGTGATACGTCTAATTTGCATCCCTTTTACGAAAAAGTGATGCAATCTAGACGTAGCCCCAGCCCTTGGACAAATTGGTCCATGGAGAGGTTTGTTTGGATCTCGCCGGCAACACTAGTGAATTAAGACATTGGCCTAACCTCGGTTCTTCTTATGCTGGGAGAGATTGAATTGGTAAATTTGCGGGGAGAGCATATAGAAAGGGAGTTTGGGGAAAAGGAGGGGCTGCAGCACTCCCAGGTTTTCCACCTGGCTTCCCTGCTCCCATCCCAAGGGCCAGCTCTATCATCTTCCCCACCAGCTCCATGTCCTGGCCTCTGGGCAGCCCCTCTAGGGTCCTGCTGGCCTTGTGTTCCGGCCTCCAGACAGCCCTGCTTGGGTACCACCAGCCCTGGGCACCAGCACTGCTCAGGACTCTGCAGCCCACCATCCGTGGGGTCCAGACCATCAGCCCTGGAGGCTGCACTGCCATTCGGGGTCCTGCCGCCGGCCCGGGGCACTGCAGCCATCTCCAGCTGTAGCTAGGTGGCCAACTCTCCTGGACCGGACAGACCGGACTCCATCTGCAGCAGTGGTATCCGGTTCGTCCAGTCAGGAGGGTTGGCCACCCGAGGTGTGAGTCCAGCCTGGGGCAGAAAGGAGCCCAAACCAGTTGGAGGGAAGGGGGGTGCAGCTTGGCACCCCCACCCTAAAAACAGTTCCAGCGCCACGGGCTTTTGGTGCGTGGAAAACCTTTCAACCCCAGCTCATAGACTCTGTTTGGATAACCCCCTTCCGAAAGCACAGTCGGCAGTGGGAGGTTTATTGTCGATACGTTTATTCCCCTCCCCTCTTGGACTGTGTGTGTTGGACCCTTGTGTTGATTATGCAGCGACGTGCAGCGAGCAATGCAAACAGAAATGCCACAGCGCGGGGCCGGGGAGACAGGAAGTGCACCAGCCCTTCCCTTGGCCCTTTCCTGGGTTATAACCAAGGGAACCAACAGCCATGCGCAAGGTGGAGGCGGCCCTGTTCCAGGTTCCCAAAAGGGGCGGGGCCACAGGAAGAAGTGGCAGGGCCTGAGAAGGAAGAGGCGGGGCCTCAGGAAGAAGGGGCAAGGCCTGAGAAGGAAGGGGCGGGGCCTCAGGAAGAAGGGGCAAGGCCTGAGAAGGAAGGGGCGGGGCCTCAGGAAGAAGGGGCAAGGCCTGAGAAGGAAGGGGCGGGGCCTCAGGAAGAAGGGGCAAGGCCTGAGAAGGAAGGGGCGGGGCCTCAGGAAGAAGGGGCAAGGCCTGAGAAGGAAGGGGCGGGGCCTCAGGAAGAAGGGGCAAGGCCTGAGAAGGAAGGGGCGGGGCCTCAGGAAGAAGGGGCAAGGCCTGAGAAGGAAGGGGCGGGGCCTCAGGAAGAAGGGGCAAGGCCTGAGAAGGAAGGGGCGGGGCCTCAGGAAGAAGGGGCAAGGCCTGAGAAGGAAGGGGCGGGGCCTCAGGAAGAAGGGGCAAGGCCTGAGAAGGAAGGGGCGGGGCCTCAGGAAGAAGGGGCAAGGCCTGAGAAGGAAGGGGCGGGGCCTCAGGAAGAAGGGGCAAGGCCTGAGAAGGAAGGGGCGGGGCCTCAGGAAGAAGGGGCAAGGCCTGAGAAGGAAGGGGCGGGGCCTCAGGAAGAAGGGGCAAGGCCTGAGAAGGAAGGGGCGGGGCCTCAGGAAGAAGGGGCAAGGCCTGAGAAGGAAGGGGCGGGGCCTCAGGAAGAAGGGGCAAGGCCTGAGAAGGAAGGGGCGGGGCCTCAGGAAGAAGGGGCAAGGCCTGAGAAGGAAGGGGCGGGGCCTCAGGAAGAAGTGGCAGGGCCTAAGGAGGAAGGGCGGGGCTTGAGGAGGAAGGGGTGGAGCTAAGGGCAGCTGGCCCTTAGTGTTGCCCAGGCTGCAGCACACCTGCCCCCCAGCCCTGCCTGGAGCACCCCCGCCTCCTCAGGTAACCCTACAAACTGCCCGGAGCACACCTCGTGACACTCCGGCAGCAATAAAGGACATGGGACTTCGGGCCCCCTTGAATCACCAGGCACCGAGGCAGTTGCCCACTTCCCCCCGCCCGTCAGGGGGCCTGTTGCCAAAGCGCGAGATCCTGTGCAGAGTGTGGAACGTTCCATGTGTTGGGGAGACATTTGCATTGACTCTGCAACCAGACGCTTTGCAAGAGGCTGTTCTTGCTAGTGTTCCGCGTTAGCGCTTCCTTTACTGAAGCATTTCACAAGTTCGTCCTCTCTGGGCAACTTTAACAGGCCCGGGGGACACAGCTCTGCCGAACGTATTGTTTTTTTAAGTAGCAAAAACGTGTTGGTGCTCAGAACGCCCTCCTTTCGAAGGCAGGAGCTTCCAGAGGGTAGTCGGGCCGGTGCTGAAGCATTTGAAGGCTAAATATGAAATGGCAGCGTTGAGCCATCTCTAGATAATACTGTAACGGAGCCGGCAGTAGCACCTGACTGTGCCCTAGCCATGCGGTACAGCTGTGGTCGCTTGTAAGCGCCTTTGCTACATGCTATGTCAGGCTCTCGATCTTTTTTTTTTTTTTTTTACTCAGGGCTTTTTCTGTGCCTTTGTTGTTAAGCAGTTAAAGAGCAACCCTTGGCAGAGGTCTAGTCTTTCACGGTGCAATTGCATAACTTCCGTGCATGTGAATTAGGGTTATTTGTATCCACGGATGGGAGAATGCATGTCTTACATGAGAAAGTAGAACATTTAAATCCACGTGCCTGACAATAGTCACAAGGAGGGTTGTCATCAGTGTGCATGCTAGGGATGTGAACGGGTAACCGGTTACCTGGTAAGCATCACCCGTTCACAGCTGGGCTGGAGCAGTCGCCCACCGGGGATCCCAGTTAAGTTGGTTAACCAGTTAAACATTAGGTTAACCTAACATTTAACCAGTTAACTGATTAATCAAGATTTTACATCCCTAGTTCATGCTCTTTGACCGAGGGACACAATTTTCCTTGAAATTTAAAGGATTTTCACTCTCTTCCACTGGGCTTTATCCGTGCTCATTTGAACGCCCCACGGCTCAGTTTGTTCTGTGCATCCCTGTAAAACCGAAACCTTCCCTGATCTCTTTCAGAAACCAGGAACAACAACAATTTGGTGCCAAAGTATCATCCAAATTTTTGGATCGATGGGAGATGGCGATGCTGTGGCCAGACCGAGAAGCTGGCAGCTGGCTGCTTAGAATACGACCCCACCAAGAACGGTATGAGATTTGTGACAGGTGGTCTCCGTGTTCAATGCGTCTGTGCCCAGTAAGATTTATCTCACCTTGTCGAAAGCACTGGAGAGTATTTCCAGAGAAGAGAAATGCTGTACCTTCCCTGGGAGGGGCCTTACCTTCATCTTCCTATCATCCTTTTTAAATGGTATTTTTCCTCCAAATTAAAACTAACCCAGTTGTGTCGCCATGGTGCTAGGTGTAAAACCAACTTCCTAACCACTTGTGATCAGTAAAGGATCCGGGACAATATTCTCATAGAAGGGAGCTTGCTTCTGTGTCGTGGCAAACTTCTGTTTCTATTTTGTTCCACCACCATTTGCCATGTGGTTTCAGGTGTGAAAGTTATTCTTCACTTCCTCTGCTGAGCTAGCTATTAGCGCTGCTAGGGGGAAACAAATATTGACTTCTACCAACAGCCGGTGTGGGGGTTGCTTTTGCTGGGCCCGGCCTGGCCAGAGCAGCCCGTGGGGCGGGCCAGGCTGGAATAGTCCCCATTAATCGGTTAAACATTCCATTTAATCGTTTAACTTTTAAATTGGGATTTTCCATCCCTAGTAAGAGCCTGACCTCGTTATTCTTAAATTAATGTGGCCTTCTCTTTACCTTAGAGCCATTTCTACGTCACTTATGCCTCTCCCTGGCATTCTTCTCTGGTTTTGCCTAGATCAGTTCCTAATTAATTTACTTCATTTCATTTTAGCTTCCAAGAAGCCTCTTCCTCCCACGCCTGAAGATAACTGGGTAAGTGCAGGAAGGGCAGAGATGCCACAGTGAGGCTTGTACCATTAGCTTGTGCTCTCAGGCTCACCCGTGTCATGCACTACTCCGTGCAAAGAGCTTAGCCAGCTTGTGACTTTCCCTGGATTCTGCACCTCTCCTGTCTCCTCCGCCGGCAGCAGCTTTGCAGTGTTGCACTGTATTGTGAGCGCAGCAGGAGCTTCCGGGCAGTAGCTCATGAGGCGTTTAGGTTGCTCCTTAGGATGCAGTTCTGTTTGGACAAAGGCGCAGCAGCTTTGCAATGTTGCACTGTATTGTGAGCGCAGCAGGACCGCTGCTGTGCTCGGCCCCCATCACACCAAAACACTTCACGTTTATGCCGAGTCAAGCACTGGCCAGCCCAGTCATGCTGACAACCCGTCCTCGGCCGTGTCCTTCCCTGGGCAGCGTGTTCAGAATTCCCAGCCCTTGTGAAAAAGGGCTGGGAATGTCCCAGCATTCCCAGAATTGCCCCAAACTGACCCAGTTGTGTAAACAGCCCTGCATGGAGAATAGGGGACCCACCGCAGAGGGTACATTTCACTGATAGAGCCCTGCAAATCCATGGATATCCACTTTAAAGCCACGGGTACCTGCATCTGTGGATGTGGGTCTTGGTGGCTCAATTCTAGGGATACGGCTGCAGATACATTTTTGAACATAAGAACGGCCAGACTGGGTCAGCCCAAAGGTCCATCTAGCCCAGTGTCCCGTCTGCCCACTGTGGCCAATGCCAGGTGCCCGAGAGGGAATGAACAGAACAGGGAATCATCAAGTGATCCCTCCCCTGTCATCCATTGCCAGCCTCTGACAAACAGAGGAGAGGGACACCCTTCCTATCCATCCTGGCTAATAGCCACTGATGGGCCTATCCTCCATGAATTTTGAACCCTGTTAAAATCCTGGTCTTCACAACATCCTCTGGCAAGGAGTTCCGCAGGTTGACTGTGTGGGGACTACTTTACTCAGAGGTTAACGGCTACTTGCCCTTTGTTTTCATGGCTATAAATGTATAGCCTGTTTATTGATTTTCTTTTGTGCGGCAGTTGTTGCTGGACCCCCAGGATGTGTTAGTAATGGCTATATATGACTATCGGGCCCAGAATCCCCAGGAGCTGACCTTGCAGCGTGGTGAGGAGTACTATGCTATCGACAAGTCTGAAGATCACTGGTGGTTGGTTCAGGATAAGAATGGGTAGGTACCTTTGTCCTCACAGCCTCTAAGTCATCTGTAAATTTGCTGTGTGTGGCTAATATTAAACGCAGTGCCCAGCGCCAGCAGCCTATGTTTCTAGTGGCGGTTCACATCTGCATATGACTTGGTGCACATAAAATTTATTCTGCACATAAATGGAAAAAATAGAGGGAGCACTCTCTGTAACCCATCTGAAAATGAGCCATCCCATTGAAACAACACACAGCTCCAAGCACAAAACAACTTGTAGCTGCATGGCCCTGGATGACACACTGGGAAGGTGTGTTGTACCTACAGCTGGGTGGAAAATGGTTTTCCTGTCTCGTGAGAATTGGTGAGGTTTTAAAACTTTTTCTGGTTCC